TGTTTGTTTTCCTCTCCTTTCGAATTGTAAGCCGCCCTGAGTCCCCCCAGGGAAAAGGGCGGCATATAAATAAACTACTCTAAACTCTAAACTCTCTAAGTCCTGAGATAACAACTGCCATTTTTAGTGTTCCAAAGAATATTATTAAACAATAACCATTTTTTTAAAAAGGGGGAGAAATACACATCTTTAGCCTTCAAGCATCAGGATTTAATGAGAGCGGGTAAAACCTCCCTCCATCTTCCACCCCTTTGCATGTACAATGATATTCTAGGCATATGAATTCTCTGAGAGTCAAACTCTTTGTTATCGCCCACAGTCATTCTTCTGGAACTTCCTCTGCAAAGCTTCCTGACATTGTCACCTTGGAGGAGGCTGAGAGTCATGGACCACCAGCCACAATGAAAAGTCTCATGGGTCTTTCAAATACAATAGGTTCCCGCTGCTCCTCTAGTCCAGGTGCAGCTAATTTTCCCAATCATGACTTCATCAAAATTGTCCTTAAGTCTTTCACAATGCTTAAAATGACCTTTTGAAAAAAAACGTCATCTTTTGAAAGGATGTATTTGCTTTTCTTTCTCCGCAGTAGTATGGAGAGAAGGAAATAGCAGTTCAGTTTGCCAAAAAGTAACGGACATGCCCATGCGTACCTATGCGTCTTGCTGTGTATATGTGCATGTATGTCTGTAAATGTTGCTCAGGGCCTAGTCCACAGCACATACTGACAGACACAGGGACCCCAAAAAGTAGTAATCTAAATACTTCTACCTACTTATTGTAAACATAAATAACTTTTTTACATCAATCCAATACCTGGGCCTTGAACAGAAGCATAGGAATAAGGCACCCAGGACAAATTCTGAATGCTTGAGTTACAGAATCATCCTAGTCTAAGGCAGGGGTGTTAAACTCAAGGCCCAGGGCAGTGGTGGGATTCAGCCGCTTCGCACCTATTCGGGAGAACCGGTCGTTAACTTTCTAAGCAATTCAGAGAACCGATTGTTGGAAGAAATCTCCTTTTGGTTTTTTTTCACATCGCAGGGCTAATCCTGTAAGGAAGGAAGGCAGGAAGGAAACTGTGACCTGACAAAAGCGCGCACGACAAAAGTGTGCTGACAAAACCGCGTCGCTAAAACCGCAACGTCATCAATGTGCCGACAACAGCACGTTGACAGAAGGGCGATTTAAAACAGTGTGTCGACAGAAGGGCGATTTAAGTTAAGGTAAGGGTTAGGTTTAGGTTTAGGTTTAGGGTTAGGTTTAGGGTTAGGGTTAGGTTTAGGGTTAGGGTTAGGGTTAGGGTTAGGGTTAGGGTTAGGGTTGGGTTAGCATTAGCGTTAGCGTTAGCGTTAGGGTTAGCATTACGTTTAGGGTTAGGGTTAGGGTTACGTTTACAGCGCGCTTCTGTTGGCGCGCTGTTGTCGGTGCGATTCAGCGCTCATTCGTCGGCACGGTTCAGAACTCGCGGTTTTGTCACCGCAGTTTAGTCGGGCGCGCTTTTGTTGGGCGCCCTTTTGTCGGTGAACCGAAGGAAACATTCTGGTGTTGTTTCTAGCCTAATCTTTGTTGCCCTGCTTACAGAAACTGCCTCTCCAGTTAACCCTTGTTACAGCTAAGGCAAAGCACCCATCGACCTGAGTGATGTTGAGTTGGCCATGCCCACCTAATCACATGACCACCGATCCCCACCTACCCAGCTGGTCATTAGGGCAGAGAACCGGT